AAGCCAGTCTTTCATCTTCAGGCCAGTCCGGTTTTGAACCCTGATGGGAAAGGTCATGAATTTTAAAATGTGTCTCGCAGCAGACAGCTCTAATCATAAAGCTAACACTATCTGCAGTGCATGTCTGACCATGTGAGACTCGCAGCTGACTGAAGAGGGAGACTGACTTTCAAGAGCAGGATGCTGCTTTGAGCAGGAAAGCGTGGGATAAGCAGAACCAGTGCCATATCTGTCAGTGCTGGCACGAAGCACCTGGCTTTTGAGGGGTGAGGGAGAGCCATACTGTTCCTGGCAGGGTCCCAGCAGGGCTTGCTGAGGCAGAAGTACTAGATAGCTTGTTGTTTGCCTCTGTCAGCTCCTCCAGGATCCACTGCTTCCTCTTCCTGCGTGTGGTTTCAGAACCATAATGCTTTTACTGCTTTAGCTCACAACCCTTGTTCTTGGCTTTAACACAGTTAACAAACTATTGTGCTCCAAAGCCTGAAGAAGCTGGAGTGTTCACTGCAACTACTCTTGGGCATTGTCTTTCTGCCATTTGCCGGGTTATATTTGAAATCAAGGGAGTATAATATTTTGGCAGCACCTTACAATGATCCCGACAAAGGAGTTGTGGTTATTGTGTATCTGAGTCTTAAGTGTTTTCTTAATGGGTGCTGCTGAGTCTCAGACAGTTACTGCAGGACGTGAGAAAGCAGTTGATTCTTTCTCTGACTTGATGTGCATTCTCCAAAATCCTTCCACTCTACATCTACCACATCTTGGGCTCTGCTTTTCCTAGCACGTACAGAAGCATGGTCCGCTGGTGTTAATCACCATGTGGTGTCTAGACATGCTGAAAACACTTAAGCAACCGTGACATCTGTTTGGTTGGACTACGTCGTTGGGAAACCTGACCTTATTTGTGAACGGTTTTCAAAATCAGATGTGATTTCAACCATGATGTGATAATAAATGTGAAGCATCTTCACACACTGTGCCCATGTCTTCATGGCCAACATCCTCCCTGAGAAAGAGTGGGCTAACTCTGAAAGGTTAGGACTTGGGACACATGGCTCAATTTTTAGGTCTGGCACACACTTCACATCTGACCTTTACTAAGTTGTATGTTCTCTTTGTGGCTGGAATAAAATGGCAATACCTGCGATCAGACAGGTGATTGGACTCCAGATTGTGGCAGTTAATTTGATTATTACCTAAAAAAGTCCCCATGATTTCAACCTAGCTCAATGCCCTATTGTGTAGATCTAGTGTTGTGTGAACAAGAGCAGGAGCCAAGCTGGAATTTTTCTTGATTCTGCAGCAGCAGCAAACTCCAAATTGGGGATTATTTTCAGTGTGTTGTATTGTGATTGCTGTGTTTTTCAGTGCATGATGTGGAGCAGGATTTTCAAGATCATCTGGTCCTTGGCTGCTAAGTGTTAACACTGCTTCTGAATATAGGATTTAGGGCTCTGCTAGAGGATCTCCGGTAGATTTAACTGTTTCAAACATTATATCCTCCAGCCCCTCTGCCAAAAATTACTGCCTCATAGGAGGGGCACAGAGCAAAATGAAAGCACAGCAAGGAGCAGTGTCCCACTGTGAACCTGGTGGGGATAGTGCTGTGTTCTTTTTGTTCAGAAGTCTGCTGTCACTGTGGAACAAAAAATAGAGGTTAACTCAGGTGTTGACCTTAAGCTGCTCCTGCTCCATGTCTGCAGTGCGTTTAGTGCTGTGATGGTGCTGTGTTCCTGGACAGGAGACCTCTCCCACAGCTCACTCCAAAACAGCTGGGCAATGGCAGCTGAGGAACCACCACAGAGGATTTGGGAAGCCCCAGCTGTGTGCTGGTGTAGCACAAGCACTCCTCAGTGCCAGGGAGCCTCTAAGCAAGGCTAATCCTGGCACCCACAAGCAAGGCTGTTCACCTCTACATCTCCCATTGGTGAACTGCCGGCCAGTTTCCAAGAAGCTCTCAGCTCTGAAGTGACTGCTGCAAGCATAAGCTGCTTTGCTCGAGTGGCATCCAACTTGTGATTTCTGTGTCTGTATCTTTTACAGTAGTGTCTCCAGAAATACAGAAGTATAACAAGGTATTTATTTGCCAAGCCTTTTCTGCTGTGTTTCAGCCTCTCGTCTTCCCCTTCCCTGGCTTATCACTGGTGGAAGCAGGTGTAAAGTCCTTTGAACGAAGACATCAAAGGACAACTGCATCTCTGTTCTTTAACCAGGCTTATAAAGAGATTGTGATAAAGGCCAACAATACATGTCAGTGTTGCCCAGTTATTGTTCTGGGCTTTGTAGTTCTATTAGGAAATAATTTCTCACCTCGTGTGTCTCCTGGTGAGTTTTGTTTTCTGTGTTGCTGGATTTGATCTGCCCAGTGAAAGACCTGCTACAGAACCGAGTTTCGCCAGCTGTGAATTAAGAGGGAAACATGATTGAAAAAGTTCAAGCTCTGCTTCCTAGCAGCCAATTTACCATCTGTTTCCCTCTCCCTCACCCTTTTATAGCAAAAATGCAAACAGTTTGTTTGACCTCTGCTGAATCTGTACAACTCTGTGCTTTTAATGTGTTGCTCTAACAAATAAAAACCAAACATGACAACAGCAACAACCCCAAATTCAAAACTAATAAACCTAGGTAGCAGCAAAGTCTATTGTCAGAGATGGTAAGAGGCTATCAAAGGCTTTCTTCTTCATTAATGCATCCCTCCTCCTCCCTTCACTCCACTTCTGGGGAAAACAACAGGTAAGGTTGAATCATATCTGCCACGGTATGTGGCTGAAAACTAGCCCCTCCTCCAGGTTAACAGAGAGAGTAAAGCCCTCAGATGTGCTGCTTGTTGTAAGGAGGCAGGATAATGTGGGTAGGTAATTCCCAGCACCACTACACTTCCATCTCCTGGTGGCATGCCCCCGTCTCTGGCCTTGCACCAGCTCTGGTGCTCCTGAGGCACCACTGTGAACTGTCTCAGTTCATGGTCCTCCAGGATGAGATGGTCCTCAGCGAGGTTGGTGAGCTGAACCTGCTGGCAGAGGTCTCTGATGAATGCTGCAGCTGATGTGAGGAAGGGGAGAAGTGGAGCGAGGTCTCTCAGTGGTGGTGAACCACTAGCCTGGCTCAGCTGTATGCAGAAACACAGCCGGGCATTGCATTACGACATTATTGCACAAGTGGTGCGATTGCCGGCAAACTATAATAGTTCTGTCCTAATATATATATAATAGTCTTCTAAAGAGACTTCTGAGAATCATTGTTGATGCTGGTATAAATTGGCGTGGCTCCAACCGATGTGTCATTTGTCTGGTAGACTATGAAATGCTCTTGAAAACTGGCCTGTGTTTCAAGCCTTTGTCTTCATCACATTGACCCCAGTGGAAATCCAAGCTGCTAAATGACTCATTCTGCCTTTCCTCCAACCTCAAATAGGTACTTGTACCCCCAATCCACATTGAACAACTGTTAGAAAGAAAAAAAAAATAAAATTCACACTTCAAGTTTTCCACACTTCAAACAAAACCTATGAAGTCCCTGTTCCAGCCTGCTGAAGCAGCCTTTGCTTTGCAAGCAAATCTCTGTAGGAAGAGATGAGAGCTGGTGAGAAAATCACCTCAGTGCTCATGTGTTTTGCTGAGGTTGGAGGAGGGCAGCGTGACATTCTTACACAAAGTGTTTTCTATTTCAGTGTACCTTAAGTAGCTTGGAATAAGAAAAATAAAGCATTTTCTGGAACTACAAAGCTGTCATATAACTGGGGACCACCCTGGACAAATAATGGGGTGGCAGGGTCCTGGGGGAGAAAGGGGGAAGAAAAAGGTCTAGTGTGGAAAATGAAGCTCACAGCCAAAGATGGACTTAACCTGGTAAGTAGGCTTGAAGCATGAGCTGAGATGACAAATCTGAATCCTCCTTTTGAGGGTGTGAGGGTGACTTTATAACTGCTTTGAGAACCTGGAAAAACCTTTTTTGAAAACAGGGAAAGGGGCTTTCCGTTGTAGAGGATGTAGCTTGATTATCACAAGAAAATATTATTTCCCATGATGTACTTTGACTTATAATTTTTGGATGAAGTATGAATATTGTTAGTAGAGAATAATTAGGAAAAAAAACCCGAAATAGAACAAAATCATGGCAAGAGATGCTAGAAGCAAGGAGGAGAACACACTTTTTGCTACGGCAGAAGCAGAGAGGTAAGACAGGTGTGTGGTAGAAAAGCTGCTTGAAATGTAGGAGATGTAAGGAGGAAATTTTTTCACCCCGGTTAGGGGAGGGCAGCAGGTAGACTTGTACTTGAAGATACAAGCAGTGGGGACAGAATCATTGACTGGTTTGGGTTGGAAAGGACCTTAGAGATCATCCAGTTCCAGCCCCGTGCATCAGAGAGAAGGTCCATATGCCTAATACTTGGTCTCCAAAGAGGCCAAGCTTTGGTGTCTAAAGGAGAGCCTATGAGGAGAGCAGGTCTACTTCTGCCAGGGTACTAGGGGTGCTGAAAGGCCTCACTGGCCGTGCCTCCCCTGAGACCCCCACCCCACCGCCTCCTGCCAAGGGCCCAGGGGGCACAGCTCAACCTGGGGCATTCAGTCTCTGCCTGAGCCATGTGGTAGCTGAGCCTGTCCCTGTGTCCTGGGTGGGTCTGGGACCTGCACTGCAGAGAGCTGCTCTGCTGGGTGTACCCCTTAGACCTAGGGCACCACTTGTTATGCAGACTTGTAGGCATCACACAGCATAATCCATTCCATTTCTAGTCTAGTCTAGTGTAGTACCTTCCATTCCATTCTGCTCCATTCTGTGACTCTCCCTTCTATTCCATTTCGTTCCCTGCGCTCACCCTGGGCTGAATAACAATGGCACTGTTATTCCCCTGCAATGCCGGGGCTTTTCAACTCCAAAGCCACATTCAAGGACACAAATCACATAGCTTACAAGTGGAAATATGATTTTATTTTATGATTCCATTTGGTTTTGGTTTGGTTTCTTATATTTTATCTTATTTTATATGTTATTTTATGTTACAGGGTTTTGCTTTGTGTTGGTTGCTTTTTTTACTCTGTTGCAGAGCTGATGCTCACAAGCATCAACACCTTCCAAGCACAAGCCAAAACTCCTGGGGAAGTGGAGCCAAGGGAAGAGCAGAGCTCTCTCCCTCTTCAAGCATGCACTGGGCAATGGAGCCAGAGAGTGTTAGGACACGAGTGGTGCCCTGGAGGTGCAAGAGCAGCAGGCAAGAACAGAGCCCAAAGGGGAACCCTGACAAAGGGCTGTGCTTAATGCTACAGAGGACAATCAGTAACCCCCTAGAGCTACCCTGGGAGTCATGAAAGCTTCCTTCTCTCAGATGCAGGGTGCAAGGGCCACCTTCCCTCTGCCAAATTCTAGCTTCTGTTTTTCTTGCTTCCCACTGGAGTTAGAAGGAGATTGTGATGCCTCCTAAGAGCCTGCGCCTTCCCTGACTCCTGTCCACACTCACTGCTTGACACCCCCTCTCCTCCCTGAGGTGACCAACAAGTAGGGTGCCACACTTGAAGAGCAGAAGCAGACATCTTCAAGAGCTCATGGGACATTTACTTTGAAATGGTAGGGAAGGTCATGGCAGCTGAAGACTACTGAGATCAGCAGGTGGGCAATGGAGTTGCCTGGCAATGTGATCACTGTCCCGAAAGGACTTCCTTGAGCAAGAAAGTGTACAGGGAAGCAAATGATGTCAAAAAGCAGTTACAGCTGAATGATCATGTACTGTGATAAAGCCAGGACCTTAACTTTGCCATGGAGAGGACTGTGCAGGGACCAGGGAGCTAGGACCCCCATAGGGCAGGACTGGGAAGAGACTTTGAGACCTCTCTGTGAAGTCACTTGAAGGCACAGAGAACACAGCTTGCTTTGTAGGGGACAGGACAGGGTGTGAACAGAACAGCGGACTGGACAAGCTGGGTGTCTAGTTTATGTGTACTGTTAACCTTTTTTGTCCCTATACTCTGCTGGAAGCATGATGCAAGGTCAGACTCAGTAGTCCACACCAGGGAGTAAGAGCTCTGGAAAGGTCCCATTATCCTCCCCCACTTCTTGCTGTGCCAGTGCCAAAGCTCGTTCAGACACAGAAATCTTCAGGATCCGCCTGAACACTGCTTTTGGTTTGGGGATGTTTTAATTTTCTTTTTTGCCAGGTGACCTCAGTCCCATTTATTATCTCCATTTCTCCCCCACTCTTCTCATTATGGTATACAACCTCTGTGTGTTGAAAGGCCGTATGAACAATTTAAGAAGAGCTTTCTCTGAGATTTCACCCTATCCTGGTAAACCATGAACAGCTGTCCCTTGGATTTCCATTCTTCTTTACTTTAACCCATGGCCTGTATACCCTTCACCATCTGCAGTGGGAGTGAGGAATAGTTCAGAAGGGAACCTTAATTCATAGGGGGAGCTGCCTTCTTTTCCTTTTTTTTTCGTTTTCCTTCTCTTTTTTGCTTAGTTACTTCATAAACTTTAGTTCCAGTTACCACTTAACTCTCAGCGGCATTTCCATATCGCAGAGTTGTTGTTTCATTCCAGGTTTTCAACAACTGAAATATATCATGGGATTTCGTTGTAATGCAGGAAATTGCCTTCACATTAACAATCTGCCGCTTCTGTAAACAAGAAATCCACTGATGTGACATGTCAGCGCTCAACAGGAGGAGAACTGACTACCTTAGCAAAATGATGCATTCCTCAATGAAAACCCCGGTGTTGGGACATGTAATGACACGATTGCCTTCACTTATTTTTAGGGCAGGGGCTAGGTACCTGCTCAGAATAGTTGAAGGCAGAGGACATGCACTGGACTCTCTCCAAGCCTGCTCTTTATGTGCACTTTGCTCCCAAAGTTCCCCAAGGTCATGGGGTTGCATGTGGAGATTTTTTTTTTCCCTTCCTTTAATAGCATATTGATGTGTACCATAGTTGATAATATAGCTTTTTTAGCCAAGCTCAGTTGTCTCTCACATAGGCTGCTTATTCTCTCCTGCTAGCACGGCTGCTTTGACTGCGTAATGACAGCTGTGTGGATATATGGACTGTGGCAATGGGCTGCCAGCCACTTCATTGTCAGCTCCTCTTTGTTCTCCCAGAAAAGAGGAGGCACAATAGGGAAGGTTTCATCCACATGTCAGACATATGAGGGACAAAGGGATGATGGGAACTGACTGAACTACATGATCCAAGGCAAGCCAAGCAGCATGCTTTTTCAGCTCCGTTTAGCAATGGTGTGGTGGCCAGCCATCGTGCAATTGTAATCAGCCAATGAGCAATTAAGCTCTGGGAAGGCCTCTATGCTACCTTAGACCCTGCAGAAGGCCATTTCACGTGGTCGGTCTTAGGGGACATATTAACCCTTTGCCCCTGAGCCACCTCTTGAGATGGTGGTGGATGTTCAGCATGGGAGAAAGGCAGGATTTGCTGAAGAGGTGGGACCTTTCCTCAGGACAGCTTGGCCCTCTTGGGAGGAAGCAGCAGTTCTCTGGCACACGCAAGTCTAATCAGGTCTAAAGCAGAGAAGGAGCACACACCAAAGTGAAATCTAGGTTGAGAAGAATTGCTCTGGGATTAACTGGAAATGTTAACCAGATAAATTTCCTGAGAGAAAATATGGTTGGCACCTGTGGAGCAGAGGGGATGCCAGTTAAGAGAGTAGTGGTAAGGTGGCTTTTCAAATGGGAAGAGGGAAGAAGTAATTTAAAGCCTGTGACACAGGTTAGTGGGATGACAAAAATTATGATCGCATAAAAGTCAGTATTTCTATTGAGTCTGAACTTTTAAACATTTGGTAGACATAAGCCCCATTGAAGGGTCCTTGTTTGAAAGTGTTATATTTCATCTATTGCACAGTATTTCCTGAGAACTTTCACCGACTACAGACAAATATGGTCCATCTTAAGAGAATCCCTTTCAGACCATCTCCCCCGCCCAATTTACAGGAGGTTTTCATGGGATGCTTCTGTCTAAAGTAAGAAGCTAAGGTCACAAGAGGTGAGAGGGAAAGACAAGAGAGGATGGTAAATTTACGTGGGTTGGATTTTTCAGCAGTCTCATTTTTACTGCACTATCTTGGCATAATTGTAAACCCTCAGGAAAGATGGATATTAAATCTATAGAGAATATGACTGATACAATTTAGCATAATGATTTTCATCAGAAAGTACCTGTTGGTCAACTGGAACTTTTTGGATAAAAGAGGTAATAGAGAGGTGGTGGTTGTTTGTTTTTTTTTTTAAAGGAAGAAGAGAAAGTGTAGTTACAGTTGTTAAACTGATGTGACAAGTGTGGTTTTGCAACTGAATGTACAGCAAGTACCAGTGCAACTCTTCATAATTAGGCATATTTACATTTTTGTCTGAATCAAACACAATCCAGAATATCCTATCAAGATTTTTAATGCTATCCTAATTTGGATCAGGAAACATTTTGACAATGTGAAAAATCTCTGCAAACAGATGTTAAAAATACTGTGTCAGGAGCATTGGTTTCCCATGTCCCCAGACCATGAGCTCTACCTAAGGTGGCATCACAACGTTATGGAATCCATATTCAGCTTTTAAAGAAGGCAATGGTTTTATTAATCTTGGGCAAGGGGGATTCAAAAAAGATGTTGGTTCTACTTAGCTTTGAGAGGTTGGGGAATTGTCACACAATTGAGTACTTCAGCCTTTCGAAATAAAATTCTCTAGGAGCTGTGCTGTTAGGTATAATGCAGCCAAAGAAAAGGACATAAATATAGTAATAATCATTAATAATCATACTACGTTACTATACTATACTATTGAAGGGGGCTGACATGAAACAAAAATGGATTATGCAGAAAGTGTGTTACTGGAGATATTACTGTTTCATGGAAATGCATTTTTTAATAAAATTACATTGCTGATGCCATTTATATTAGTGTAATGCTAATGGCCTTGCTCTGCTCTGGCATGAGATTTCCTCCAGTCTGTGCCAAATCCCTACGAGATGAGATGCATGTGAGATGCCAAAGAGGAGCTCAACCATCTGAAATTGGTATTTGCATTTGTGGGTTCAAAAGTATTTGCTGCTTTGTAAAGGAGAAAAGGCATTAAAAAAAAGTACAGTTGCAAATAGCTGAAAAATGAGCTGTAATCTAATAAAAAACCCTAAAAAGATGGCATGAAAGGTAAAGGGATTGGGAAAAATAGTGTAAAAATTAAATCCTACTGAAAAAATTACGTTTATCTAGATGCAGAGGATGGCCTAGAGGACTAGTAGTGGTACGTGACAGGGAAACTGTGTTTCTTACCCTAACCTCCAGCTACCTCCATGGTTTTTGTGGTTTGGGCATAGGTGTGACATCCTCCCAGCGAGCACAGTGTTGTATCCATTCAGGAGAGGGCTGTGAGAGAGGGGGCTGCTCCACGCCTCGGTGTGATCTCAGAGGCTGATCTGAAAAAACACCTCCAGTTTAACCAAAACCTGTTTTCTGTATATTTTTCAGGCTAACAGTGACAGGCATCCCACATGCTGGCAGGCATCCGCTTCTGCCTGCTCAAAACTGCAAAGAATTGTAGGGAATTAGGGAATTCGTTGCCTGCCTGATCGCTTTTTCACGCTTAGGCAATACATAGCAGTGTTAGCTTGGGGTCATTTAAGGTTCCTTCATATTACTGGAGCACTTTCCTTTTCCAATATTCACAAGGGTAACTGGGTTTGGGATTTGCAGTTCTATATCAAGATTTAAGGTATGTTCGTTCACATATGTATTGCTAATCTGAACAGGGCAGAAAGTAAGCCCCTAAGCTTGGATCTATATCCAGTAGCCCCACCATCCTGAGTGGGATTCCAGCCTCTCTCTTTTCCCTCTGCTTATTCCCTAACAAAGCCCTGGTTCACTTAAGCAGTTGGAGTTGTACTTGAAAATGAGCTATGCTTTAGTTCAAATATTGTAAGGATGTGCTTGAATCCAGGTAATTTAGGAAAAATTACTTTGAGTTGTTTTGCTAATTTGGGCCGATTGTGCAATCTCAGAATTGGATAGCTGGGTCCTACTACGAGTTTTGTTTTGTTGGTTTGTATTTCCCCTGACCACAACTAAACAGATAAATCCTTGTTCTATCTCTGAAGTAGAAAACCTCTTTAAACTGTGTGTGCATACTTGTGCTTTCTATAACTCTATTAGAAGATTAAATTTATTTTTAAATATCTAAAATGGACAACTTTTCTGTCTTTATAAGCTTATGATTATTGTTGAGAATCAGGAAGACATTTTTCAAGTGTACAATAGATGATAAGTTCATCTCATGTTCATATTAAAGAAGACACGCTTATCTTCCTGCTGTACTTTAAATTGCTCCTTAAGAATACGATTTTGGGAAAAAATATTTCATTACATGGAGAAATAATCCTTTCCAGAAATAAGAATTCCAATAGTGTACAGAGGAAATTCCTATTAAATAAAATGTTCTATAGATGAGCACTCGGTGAAGGTACCCTGAAAATGTCTTATTCATATTTGAACATACGATCTAATTGCAATCTAATCTGAAGATATTAAAGTAATACATTATATGGCCTGAAATTCATGTGTGAAGTATGTATTCAAGCGTTTTTGAATATTGTGATCAAAATACAGAAGCAGATTCTTAAAGGTACTGTTTAAATGAATATAAATAAATGGCTAATTTGATAAAATGTTGCTGTGGAATTATAGCTTGTTTGTGACATAATTCTACACTTTTTTAAACATGTCTTTTAAAAACACTAAACTCATGAAGAATAGACTCAAAATAACCAGCTTTATGTTTTGTTAGGTTTATTCAAATAGATTCCCAGATACTTCGCAAATTGGGTTAGCTGTCTAGAAACTGGTGTTATATCTCTGATCAGAGAAAGAAATACCTGCCTCCCTGAAAATAAATAATACAACCCTTCTCCATATCTATCCCGGTCTAGTAAAGCTTGCCTTTACTTGAGGAATTTTGTTCTATTTCTAATTCCAAAGTGAGAAGGTTTGATGAACCAAGGGCAGACTTAGAATATTATGGATTTTTTCCACCTTGGTTGATTAACCTCATACATTTTATTTGAATAATGTCTAAAAGCTCTAATTAGCAATGGCTAATCTGCCCCCCAGATGCTTGCTATTGATTTTGCCTGCAGTAAAACTAATCTAATTGCCCTCTCCTCATCAGAGATAGGGTGGGTATTGAAATAACCAACTTGCCCACGTGTCTATGAGAGCCATTAGAGCAGCAGTGGGGAATGGGGTGCCTCTGTGGGGCACTGGAAAAAAGCCGGGCCATGGAGCTGGGTAGGGAGAGGATTTACCCTGTGCATTGAGACAGTGGGGAGGTAAGTCTTGGAGCGGCAGCGCTGCTGTTGCTGAGGGCTTGGACATGAATCTGCTCCCAAATGAAGAGTCAAACTCAGAAGGGAGATGAGAAAGGCAGCATGCTGATTATTGTGCCAGGGGAGAAGAGAGGGCTTATCCAACAACAGTTCACTGGTTAAAATGCCTTTCAGGTCTTTGCCTGGCTGTCAGGGGGCTTTAGTGTCACCCCCAAAATGACAGTGTTTGCATAACCATAAGACAATGTCTATTATTGCTTCCTTTGATAGCATTGTGTTTACAGAGGCTTTGATATTGTCTATAAAAGCTATTGCTCTGTTGAAACTTGGCTGTTAAAAAGCAGAAAGCAAACTCTCAGCCTAAAAGCAAAAAAAAAAAAAAAAAAGTGTTTTTTTTTAATAAAAAATGAAGGCTCCTCATTTTTTCCATTGCCTATTTAATAAAATTATCTCAGAAGTTCAAGCAGATTTGTTTTGTATTCTAATAAAGCAAAAATGCTATTTTCTTTTTTGAACTGCATTTCAGAAGTGATTAGTCAGTAATGAGGACTTTTCCTGATATTTAAAATTAGATGTCAGTATGTGAGTTATACTGTGGTGCATTGTTTCTCATTGATAGCTTCATGTGGATTGCAGTTTCTGGTTTTAT